AACTTGAACATCCCTATTAAAATCTCTTTTTCGCTTCCAGTTGGCTTAGAAGTCTATATCAGCTTACAATCCACACTTTTAGAATATACCATAGATCTTGTTCGATGCACCGCATAGTTGTGCTTCTATTCGCTTGTGTGGATACAAAACACTCAGTCATTCCTTCCTCTCTTCTAAATAGAGCTTTGTTTCATTCAGCCTTAGACTGTGTAAACGGCAGAATAGACTGGGGACACCCACCGCCGCACCTTCTTGCCACAACTTCGTGCAGCCTCCTCGTACAGCATTTCTGCACAGTAGCTGCGTCAAGGCGACATTGTTAAACTTTGAATGTGCTGGAAGACCGCATTTGTCCTGCATTGAGACAAGATCTAAAGCCAATAATCTTGTCGTTAAATTTGCATAAACGCAACTACTCCATTTAGGCTGGATCCGTGAAATCGACCTACTCCAACCAAAGTCACATCAAAGTCGAGTATGTCTAGTGTGCTGTAACGCAGCATTCTAACGCAAAACAGCCACTTCACTTCGAGAGGTGACTAAAGCTCTAATTTCTCAACATCAAGAGCTTCAAATATCCACAGTTTGCATCTTTCCAGATCCTCACTATTCCGAAAAGCTTCTCCACGATGCCCTCAGTATCAGCTTCAGATGTACAGAAGAGTCTGTCCATCGTAGAAATTCACAAATTTCTTAAATAAAAGCACACAACCTTGACCTTTATGCTCTGTTGATTCGCGTCCTAAGAACAGATACCTTAGTTGCTGAGGTAGAGGTCCCACAGATGGGCCATTCTATGGCGTGAAACGTAGCCTCTACATATAAGACATCATGAGAGCCTGGGTGGCATCAAATGGGGAATTGCTGGAATACCTGCTCAAAAGGCAAATTGAAAGTTCTATGAAATACATTAGCTCATAGTAAGGCATAATTTAAACGCTATTCTAAAAAATAATGTAGAATTCAACGAATCTCTTAAATTATACTTTCAGCCAGCTTAGTTCACTTAAGTTGATGAGCTACTGATAATGTATTTTCAGTAGGCCTAAATATACGATTAAAGTTCATTTCGTTTTGCCTTTCAAAAAAAATTCTCGTAGAGGTTTCATTAAAGTTTTAATTGAGGCTTATAATTTTGACGTTCTACACCACGTCATACTGCCATGAGTGGCAGTGAGTCACAGGGTGGAAGTACATTTTAAAATAAGCTAAACCTTTCTTTAACCAGAATTTTATTTTTGCATTGTTACCGAACGAACTATGTATCTGCCAGTGTTGTCGATCAAGTTACTCATATTAGAATTGAGTAGGATTTCGACTCCCGAAGAAGAGGCTAATGATACCTAGGCAAGGTCAAAATTGCAGTAAATCATCTTGGAAGCAAGACTAACTGAGAATGAATGGCATCATAAGGCCTACTCAATTTATTGCTAGAAAATTCGCTATTATATATTCGAAGAATCCTTTGAATTTCATCCGCACAGGCTCACGTCTCCTCAGTTCAACCAGGGTTACTTGTGGACTAACGCAATCTCAGGCATGCTTGTTTTATTGGGCTTTTGAGCCTTGATGACCTGGCTCACGTTAAGCTTTTTCCTAACATGTTAACGCGAGACTTTACAGGAATGTGACCCAGTTCTGATGATGTCCAGCATTTGATGGAGGAAAGCTCAGCCCGTTTTTACCCGAAACGAGGGAGGAGGTCTCATGGACTGCGTCAACCTGAAAATAGTATAGAAGCCAAACGGCTGCAGTACAACGGGATTCATCCTTCCTCTTCTGATGAGATCGACCTACTAATCTCTTCGTCATGCACTTTCATACGAAATGAAAGTACTCCCAACAATGTTATCTCAGGAGATTAATCGAAACTCAGTTTCTCTTCCTATCCACGATTCGAAACTATTGCGTGCAGGGGATTTGTACTGAGTCGCAAAATACACATTGCTTGGATTTGTCGCTTGATTTACACCTCTCAGTTTCGACTCCGTTTAGGGGGGATAATATTACCCAGGCTAAGTGAAAATAAATAGAATCGTGGGGCCTTCCGCTTATGTATAGGTGGGACTTTATATTAATTGAAATGCAGCGTAATCAGCAGCATTTTTTAACTTACAGAGATGAGT